GTGGCACATCCGACATACTGTTTTACTTTAGTCCATGACTCGCTTACCATCAGGGTCATGCTTCACATGAAAACCAAGATAGATCCAAACGGCAGATCTGAATGAGGGTGGTGGAGGTTCATTTTCGGGTAGCGTTGAGGCAGTTGCCATGTTGCAACGAGCTTAGCTTCTGTCTTGCTAGCTTGCGCTGCACTCAGTGGATCTGCACTCGACAGTGCAGCCTAGGCGAACGCAGATCCACTGAGTGCTCAACACAAACAGCATTGTCATAAGAAAAGTTGATAAAATAAATAAAAAATGTTGCATTGTTCGATATGCGTACCGAACCGAAAGCACTGTATCCAACGGTTCAATATCGATACGAGTATCGTTGCACCCCTACTAAATACGTATATTAGGTTTTTAAAAGAAATAGAAGAATTTAAAATAAATAGCAAAAGAATGAAAAGATGAAAATTAATGAACTTCTGGGTCCGTGTTCACAATGTGTCCCAGTACTAAAAGTAGCTGCTAATGAAAATAATGAGTAAATTCACAGAGCTTCTCTTGAAGTCAGGATTATACAAAGGTTTTACACAGTGGCTGATGGAAATAGGTAAAGCTAGAAATGGTGTGACTTTTGGAGCTAGTGTAACTAAGTATTTAAATTTCCCACCATAATAACAGTGACTGCATAATAATAATAAATTGTGCATTTGCATGTGTGTCAATTCCAAATGCTGAGCTAAGATAATGTTTGTTGTTGATCTCATTTAAAATTCACTCACATCTTCCAGCCAACGCAATAACACTGAACTGAAAAAAAAGAAAAAGAGCGCAGCAGTGCAGCAGTGCAGCAGTGATGAGTTTGATCGGTCCAGCTTTCATCAGCCGAGTGATCACACAAACAATTACAGCTCTTCCACAGTCTCGTATTATGATTCAGTTCATTTTATTTTTCACATCTCAGACGTGCAAAAGCATTCACAGACATGGCGAACTTCCCGACGTTGTAGGTGTAATTTGTAAAAGCTGAATAATTTTCACTGTTAATAATTAAGCGCAAAATATGCCAACATAATAAACTGGTAGGTCCGTGTTTTCAAATATTTCGTAGACTAAAGTATGGCTTCAGATTTATGCAACTAACTTATTTATTACAATTTTATATTCATGTTTAAACCATTTCCAGAGTAAATTATATGATTAGGTCTGCCGATTTTGCCCATCATTTTCACTGAACCAAGCACAACTTTTGAGAGAATGAGTTATACCTGGCGACAGGGTCACCATCTTTCTGTCTTTTGAGCTGACTCAGTCTTAAGCTGGAACTCTTTGCTTATAGTTTTATTTACAGCTTTCTTTATAGTTTTTGATGAGCTCTCTGGGAGGATTATCATATCTGGGAACACGGGTCCTGGTTACAATGAGTGGTGCTGTCCATGGTGTCCAAACACTTACTAGCGCCACAGCTCGACTCCATTAAAGTACAGCCGGCCTCGTGACTTTATTCACAGCTCACTATCTCCTGTCTCCCCGTGCTCATCACGCTATTGTTCATTTCTTCTGTTAAATGTGTCGGCACCATGAGGTAAAAAGGAATAGCCATGTACCAACCCCTCTGTATCAGTCCCATTCAGCATTCTCACATTTGTCTGGTTCCCTAATTTATTTACATGTGCTATATTGTGGTCATATATAGAGGTGAAACACCATCCATCTTTTTATTTCTTAATGACCTGTTGTCAAAAAAAGCAGCGTGAATTGCCTGGAGAGCAGCTGGTGTGCATTCTAATAAGACCAAGCAATCATTTTTCAGACGCTGTGACTTCATTTCTCATTCTTCTTTTGACAGGGTCTGTGTTGTTGCTGCTGTTGCTGTTGTTGTGGGAAAGCCAGTATTTGCGTGCATTTATCGTAGAATATATGTAAACCGCGTGATGTGCGGAAAGAAGGAGTCTTTAACAGAGCTTGCCAGCTAAGTAACATAGAAGCAAACACAACTACGTCGTGTATCAGTTTGCAATTCTAAATTTTGTAATTGCTATAATTCATTTGGGTAATGGCTGCCAGTCTGCCGTGGGTGAAATTACTTTATTTACTCTGTGGAACAACTGCGGCTGCCAGCTTGAGAGGAATCTGATTGGTCTGCTGCCAGCAGCAAAGAAGTACAACAGTGACTCAGATTGTAAATCAGAGCTCAAGATCAATGTGTTCCATAATCACCTTTTATATCCTGTCTTAGCATGAGCCTTTAGCTTTTTGGCTGCTCTACCTGCTTCTCTGTGATGCTCGAATGAGTCAGCAGGGTATTGGTGACAGTGTAATTGAGTAGAGCCACCTGTAATTGGGGCTTGGAGGACTTAAAGCTTACTGTGAGTGTGTCGTCTAGCTGATTGTTTGTTACCATGAAAATGGTGATTATTTAGCCCGGCGGTGTGCGAGTTGGAAATGTGCACCTGTATATGTCAGTGTGCTTAATGGACTATCGCATTCGTTACACTTTATCACCAGAGCTACAGGGGAGATTCTGATGGATAAGCTTATCTGGGGCAGTTTGGGTTTCTGTGCAGCTTCTGTTTGGCTCACAAGTTGTCTTAATTTATCTTGCAGTTCATAATATAACTACACAAAGCATGAGGTTACCCCGCATGTAATTTATTTCGCATGCTGTCTAATAAGATGTAGACACTGTTGGATTGCTCCCAGTAGATGAATACCAACTAGTCATTCATCATCTTTGCAGAAGTTCTGTTACAGGTGCCCACACAGTTACCTCCAGAGCTTTCTTTGCGCATTTCAGTTATTCCGTACACTTGGCAAAAACACATATTCTCATTTGCTTGTCTTCCAGGTCTGTCTGTGCTGCAGAAGGTTCTTGACACGGCAGCAGAGAGGAATTGGCTGGTGACCTCAGTCAATGTGGAGACCATATCGAGTAATGCCTTTGCGAAGGTGTTCCAGGATTTGGACAAGCGAAAGGAGGGCCAGATTATCATTGACTGTGAGACAGAGAGACTCAACAACATACTGCAAATGGTAAAAACATTCACTCTTTTTTATGTTTTCACAATGTATAATCTAATTTTAGCATAAACATCATAACACAACAAAAGCATACAGCTGTTCTTTTAGACACATGTCAAGCTAAGTATTAGTTATGTATGTGGCTTAAATTTAAAAGAATTCGTCATACATACAAAAAAAGGGTCAAACATTTCAGGACAAATTTATACACATTTTTATCAGATAAAGAAAGGAGGGGATATAAATTTAATGTGGTGGCTGGCTGTTTGTCTATTGTGATGTCTCGTCTGCTGGAGCATCAAGGACAGTAAAAGATAAATAACACAGCTTTGGCATTTGAAGCCAGCAGTTCTCCCATGATAGGATCATCACTTTCTCACCTCCGCATTGTTAAAAGGAAAATGATCCTATCATCACAATTGACTGTTCACAGCCCCTTCCATCAAACACAGACTGTCCAATCATAGCTTAGCAACTGTATCTAGGCACAGTGGGCCCCTTGAACTCCAGATTATATCATGAAGGCAGTGTCTCTTTGTTGTTACCTTTATAAAGGATTATTAAAAACACAACAGGGAGATAATATGAAGAAAATGGTTCTGACTAATTATTCACAAACAGTATTTTGGCTAAAGGAAGATATCACAGTAACCACCACAGTTTACACATGATCCAGTACTAGGATGTTATGTTGGCAGTTTCCTTAGCAACTGCTAAAAATAGTGTTTAAAAATATGAAAAGTGAATGTTTATACGCTTGTAAGAATATTGTGATGGACACAGACACTGTGTCATCACCCACTGGTTGTTTAGGTTGTTTGGAGCCATAAATGAATATAGCTGGATGAGAGGGAACAGCGCTACATTATGGGCTAATGCTAGCTAGCTTTATTAGCATAGTCCAGAGACAGCTGTATGGGTGCATTTCACCGACAGTAGCTACAGTTTGTTTTTCTCTCGTTTAAATCACTAATTTGTTAGTCATTTAACCAAGAGAAAAAAGTTAGACTAGTGTAAAAGATCCTAAGAAAACATTTAAACTGAGTCCACATTACAGCAAATATGTTATGTGTGTTACAGGAACAATATGAAACTGTCAATCGTGTTCCTTGTTCAATATTATTTGGAGGCCGCTGAAATGTGGGCCATTTTTTGTCCCTTATAAAGTTGCAAACACACAGCATCAGATTAGATGGCAGAGTATGTCTAACCTTTGTGATACTAACAGCAGCCGCCCATTATCTTGCTAGCATTCACATCCAGAACATGATTACACCTGGCTTTGGATGCTTGGTTATGTTCCTGTTATTCTCCAGGTTTTATACACCAGTGCTAGTTAAGACAGCTGTCATCAGTTTATTTTTCCCCAGCTTGTTTCCACTGGTAGAAAGAACGTGAGTAGGGTGCTGGCTGTGTGTCAGGGCTGTAGCCCCAGGTAGTCACCAGTGGTGTCATCTTTGAACCATCTTTGAGCGAGTAACTGCCTTTCTGCATTAATTAAAGAAAAATAATACATTTAACGGACTATTCTTTCTGACACAGACTAGCAAATTTGGCAAACATTCAAACATCTAGCTGACTAGTCAGGCTCATCCCTCTTCCCGAGGTCCCATTTGGTTATTGGAATTAGCTCAAATGCAGCCTAGCAGACTATGAACAGGCTTCCATAACAATGTTAATTCAACTCAATGTAGTTTTAGCTTTATAACGCCAAATCAGTGGTGCTGTGAAGGGGCTGTTATAGTGTACAGTGTTTTACATTTAGCATTGTTAAAATCTGCTAAAAAGACCAGAAACTTTTTGTAAAAGGATGTGAACATTTTTATGCTGTAAAGTTTCAAATTTTAATACTTAAGGGGATTAGTTGCTTTTGGAGACAGGCTCAGGTGACAGTTTAACTCTTAAGGTTGTAAGGGCAGATTATTGAGTGTTGTTAATAAGAAACAGTAGATACATTAAACCAATAATTTAGGATACAACATCTACACTTTATTACTAAACTGTTACATTTCTTCTATTTATTAGTCTTCCACATTAAACATCACCTCTGTGGATGCCCTGCCATGGACAGTCTTTTATCATGCACATTATCATGAATGAAGTACTTAGGTTCAAGAGACCCTTTTCACTGGGTTCTCAGTTTAAAATGAGCAAACTGGAAACATTAAAATATATTTTTCATCTAACTCATGTACAGTACCCGAGTTTAATTACCAGGCTGCTAAGGAAAGCTGTCTTTCAATCAGCAAAATCAGTGGTTGCTGACTCAAAATGAGCTGCTTTTATTCAACCGCTGTCTGAAACCAAGAACCCGTTATTTCAAAAACTTTTTTCACTTTGTTGTTTTTTCTGGGGTTTTTTTTTACTGCCTTTTACAAGCAGGCATTCTGGCATAATATGAAGGCACCAAGGTGTAATTTGTTTTGCTTGTTGATTCCACGCATGTTATGATTTTCAGTCTGACTGTCATAGTTCTTTATGTTTGTTCCAGAGAAGAAAAAGTGCACACACATCCCCATGTGTATTTGTAGGCTATCACTGCTCTGTGTGAATGTTATTGATGGCCTGGTGTCTACAGTTAAGGTTATTGCATCAGTTCTCACCAGTTTACAGAAGCTGAGCCCGAGAAGTTCTCCATTCAGACAGCCACCATCAATCACCGACATCTGCTCCCTGCCTCCACGCTGCCCTGCCTGTGCACCCATCCAGCGAGAAACACATATATACACAACACCTCTGCTTGGTTTGCCCTTTAAACTCACAACTGATCGCATCTAATTCATCTCATACTGTACAGATATTGTCTTACAATACAGCCGCTGACAGTATATCACACAAACCGAGTGTAGAGGCAGTTTCATAGAAAAGCCACCGCAGAGATGTTTCAGTGGGTCTGCCAACACAGAGACAAAAAGGGTGACCTGCTCTTTTTGGGCTGAACTCTGAATGACTCTTAAAATCTGCATGCATAATTTAAAAAAAGCTACTCAAAGCCAAAACTTTTCCATTTGACAGTCCAGTGTGGCTGTGTGTTTCCCCCTGTTGCACGGTGTATTGGTGTCAGTACTGGTTCGTGTCTCTCCTCCCTCCTTCTTGTTTTTCCTTGCCTGAGGCTTGGCCGCCAGGCTCCCCTCGTGTTGAGGTCATCATTAATAACAAATGCCACCTTCTGTCATGACCTACGGCATCATTAGACGCACACGCGAACACCACGCAAACAAATGAGTGCACTTTGCACTGTATACACAAAGCAAAACGCTTGCAAAGAGAAAGAGAAAGGAGAAAACATGTTTACCACACTGCCTGCATGGAGAGCATGAAGCAAACTTCATATCCACCGGGTTAAGGCTGTTATTAAGCTTTAAATTAATGCTGCTCACTTGACCTTATTTTATGCGACTGTTGTCAGGACACACACACACACGCACACAACCAAATTTGCTGTAGCTATACAAAACAGCAGGCTCGTTATTTAGCCAAGAAAAAAAAAAAATTTAGCCACCAGCTAAGCGTGACATTTTTTTCTTTTTAATCATATACTTAATCTACATTTAGATTTAAGTAAAAGTGACGCTCGGTTTACCTGCTCCACTCATAATATAAATAAACCATCTCTTAAAGTGTCCTGGCCCTTTGTGATTGGCCGACCTGCGACGCCTGCAGTGAAAGAATTATGACAGAGCAGGCAGGACAGAGATGCAGAGTGTAAGCGTGGGAGAAGGGCTGGCACAGTTCATCACTAACAGCCTGCATTATTTCATGGTATTGTTAGACCTTGATAGAGTTCCAGGGAAGTAGAACTCTGTAAAATATTTAAATATCAGATCAAAGATCAAACCAGAGCTCACAAGGGAACAATACTGAGAGCAGAGAGAAGACTAGTAAGATTAGGAAGAGTCTGCCTCATGTCTTAAACTGTGTAAATTTTCAGTCTTTGCTTCTTTTTTTTAATATTTAATTTTTAACTTGTTCCCTCTTCAGGTTATGTATCAAAATTTTCTGTTGATACATTTTGCTTGGTAGATATTGTGCCATTTACTTTGGAACAAATATCTGCATAAAGACAGCAGTGCTGTAAGAACACTTCTTCCACAGCAGAACCATTCATCACTGGAAGGAAAGGGAGGAAAGGACATTCTTTGACTCCAGAACTGTCATTTTCTCAAAGCCAACATGTTCAAAGGCCAGTCCCTTTGCTCTGATTTCCTGTTAACCTACTTTCTGCCTGTCCTGCACAAGATCAAATGCTTTACACTGTCCTGTCTGTGGTGTGATGCCGAGAGAGTGTCATATCCTTCCCCTCACTTTCTCACACATGAATATATTCGAAACAACCTTGTGTGCTCATGTGTGTGGCATACATTTTACTTTATGTCTCTTTTGATCTTATCTTTCAGATTGTAGATCAAGGAAAGAATGCAAAGAGCTACCACTATATTCTGGCTAATCTGGTAAGAAAGACTATTTTCATTTTTTTTTTAAATTTCTTAATAACCACCAATAACCAATTGTCAATAGTTCTCTAGCATTTCCGAAGTTCTTTGGTTGCTTTTTCACCCATTTTCAGTCCCCTTCCTGTACCTGACCCTTTCCAAATATTTTTTACCAATGAATCATCTAATCATATGTGCCAACACAGAACAGACACTTTAGCAAAGAATCTATTTTAAATCAAGTCTTTCAACAGTTTATTACTAGCAGTCTGTCACAAAAACATGTCATTTGTTTCCATTTCTTTAGTTGAATCTACAAAAATGCCAACGATAAAACACTTTGACAAGCATAAAATAGCATTTTTCCTCCAACATGTTGATTCTTTAAGACTTACTAACTGAAAACTATCTGGGCACTGTTTACTTTAAAAAGTTGAGGACAACAGAAGAAGTGGCAGGTCTTAAAAAATACTATCTATAGCAAATGAGCGGTATCCATGTCCTTAAAAAACAGGGGAACAAAACCAACAAAGACCTGACACAGGAGCTGAGAGATGCCTTAGTTGGTCCATTTACTGTTCAATGGATATTGATCGGAAATTATCTAAGTAGACGGGTTAACAACCATCCGTAAAACACATTGGAAGCTCTATCATGATTTGGGGCTCCATTATAAATGCAGAAAAGTACCAGATTTTGATGTAATATTATTTGGAAAGCATCTGACTGGAAACAACGTAACATTTCAGCACAACAGTGATCCCAAACACTGTTCTGTTGAAGAATAAAGGTTCATATATGTTGGCAGATATCAGTAACTCACTGTGCCTATTTCTCATTTTCTAAGAGAAATCGGGGGTGGCTCAGGACTTTTTGCACGGCACTATTCTTCTCTGCATTCACACTTTATTTGAATTTATATAAATTTATGTAAATTGTATCTTTTGTCTTATATTTCATTTCATAACTGGATTCCAAACTTTCAGTAGTTTATTGCCAATTCAGTAGTTGTGTTTACACAATAGAATTATCTGGTTTTACCCTCATTCCATCTGCAGCTCAGCTAAGTCAAATATCCTTTCACTGCCACAGCTATAGAAATCACAGCAACACAAGTGGGAGACCTGCGACAGTGACAGAAAGCTGTGCAGACTCACAGCAACAGAAAAAGGTCAGGCAGCCAGTGTATGAAAGCATACATCCATTAGCTCTCTTTGTCTGCGGCCTTTTCCTCGCCACACACATGTTATGCAGACCCCGACAACACTCGATAAATGCGGCCAAATGAAAAGAAAACTGGCATCAACAGAAGCTGTGGTAATAACAACATTAATATGCAGCTTGTGGCTTGAACAGTTTCTCACTGCTGGCGTTTTAGATTGACTCAATCTCCCTTTTCCGACCGGTTTGCCAGATTTAATTTTAAATGATAAAGCTTGGACAGTAATAACAGGTGATATGCAAAGTGGCCACAGTCATTTATAATGGGCCCGTTAAAATGTTGGACCAAAAAAACGGAAAAAAAAGAAAGAAAATGACTTTATACGTCCTTGGACCTTTTAGTTATTTTACTTACCTCAGTGCACATGTGTGCTTGTGTGCGTTGATTCTGAGCACAGACTGAATTTCAGTAAGTACTTAAATTGTGGTTACAATTCTGTCGGGAACACCCCCCATCTACGTCCTGTGTTAGCAAAGGCTAGTTTCTATAGTAACCTCCTCAGCTGACTGCACAGCATTAGCTCATTCATGGAGCAGAAAAAAGACATAAGTCTGTCTGTTGAGCTGAGAAATATGGACACCTGGCAACACATACAGGTACATTAAGGGAAATGCGGCTGTTAAAGCAGACTGAATGCTGCTCCTCTTGGTTGCCCACATATGTTTGGGGTATTTTTCCTCTTCTCTTAAATAAAAAAGGGCAAAAAAACAATTCTAGATAACTTTAGGCAAGGGAACAGCAAGTCCTCTTTGTTTTTCTTCAGTTCTTTTGACTGTATGAAAATCAAAACACAGTAAACAAGCGCGAATTCAGAACGGATGTGATAAAAAGAGCCAAGGCTTCAAATGGCACGATAAAAAACAACAACAACATCAGAGCAGAGAAGAAAGAAAACGGATGGTACGCTGGAGACAATCCAGAGAGAGGCACCTTTTCTCCTCATCAGTCAAAAACTTTGCTTTTAAACCTCAGACAAATCACAGACAAATCTTTTCTCCTCCTCTGTCTCCACTCCCACCCGGTCTCTCTTGTCTACCTCCTCCTCTCCCCACGCTGACAGGCAGCCTGCTGAGAGACTGAAACTGTCTTTCCTACTTTCTACCTCTGAAAAACAGCCTTCTCCACATAATAGTCGGGGGGGGGGGGGGGGGATACAAGAAGGAAATACCATTACAGTAAATCGTTCTTCCTCCATTCTTCTTTGCCTGAGGCTCGCCTTGCATTGTTCACAGTAGCCTATAAGGTTTTGATCCCGCTGTTGTTAACAGTAGCCTATGACGACTCCGTCTATCACAGATTAGTGCCGGACTGCTCCTTCCATGTAATGAGGTTTTCTATTTTCTTTCTCACTACTTCTGTCCCTCAGGAAAGACCTAAATGAAGTCTGCTCAATGGGATGATCACCCTATGTAAAAACGAAAGATTTTTTTACTTCATTAAGAAATTAAAACCTGAACTTGTGATGGCACAGTTAAAGCAGTACTTAAAATGTAATAAAGTTGGCTAAATTACCCAACCAGCGGCACCTAATGTTAGGTGCCCTGCTGCTGGTTCCAAAACCTTTTTGGACAGTGTTCTTACAAAATGCTCACCTGCTTGAAACCCTTTGATGCAGTTTTAAACAAGTTATGATAATTGATCCATTCATCCATCTGCTTATAAGCTAAACTGCTTATGAAGCTCAAAAGTAGAGGCGAGATCCATTTTACATGTTTTTTTCTTGTGACCCCTGGATAATCAGAACCCCCGTTTGCAATCCACTGCTGTAGAAGAACATATCAGCTGGATTTCACAGGGAGTTGACATATCCTCTGTACCTGTGTGAGTATGTGTGTGTAATCTGTTTCTGTCTGGTTTCCTCTCAGGGTTTTCTGGACATCGATCTGACAGATCTGAGGAAAGGCGGGGCAAACATAACCGGCTTTCAGCTCGTCAACAACTCAGAGCCGAGTGTGAGCCGCATCGTCCAGCAGTGGATGGAGTTTGATAATAAGGACTCCAAAGTGCCCAAGCCTGGACTCAAAGTACTACCCCTTAAATTTCTGAGTTACTTTATTCTTCTTCCATAAGTCTCTAAGCCTAGTGTCTATATAATAGGTAACTCTTATCTGAATATGCTTTTTGGATTTTGGATTTCTGCTATAGCAATTATTTATCTATACCGAGCTGAGAGTGATACCATATCAAGGTATTTGTGTAATGAAATGAAGTTTCTGATGTTTAAGCAAAGCGCTTCTAGTGTTTGTGACATGAAATGTAATTGACTTAAACTTGCTCTCTGCAGTACACAGGTGCTCTAACATATGACGGGGTGAAAGTCATGTCCACAGCCTTTCAGAATTTAAGGAGACAGAGGATAGACATATCTCGCAGGGGCAACGCTGGAGAATGCCTAGCCAACCCACCAGCTCCCTGGGGACAGGGCATAGACATCCAGAGAGCCCTGCAGCAGGTCTGCACACGTGGAGAGGAACACGCTAATGCACACACGCATAAATACATAGATCCTCGTGCACACTCACACAATTTCTTGAGTGGCACATTGGCTAACAGCTCCTGAGTTTGGGCTGGCTGAACAAATTAGGTCTCATTCTGTCGTGTAAAGTTCACATTAAGTCGTTGGAGAGCTCTCCAGTATCAAATGTGACATCATAGCTAGTAAACACAACCTGCAGGCAATAACACTCGACTGTGATTATCATGAAATATGACATCAGCAATTGAGTTTAGAAATGTAATATTTGGCGATGAAAATGCTGGACTGGCTGTGAGACTCCTTAATGTCACAGAGACACACGAACGCCGACCCGCATGTGCATCGAGGAACACGGACAGTTATTTGGATTAAATTTAGAACACTAATAAAAAAAAAAAAGAAAATTTAAGTTCAAGCCATTCAACACCATTCACGGAAAGTATGGAAACATAAAAACTGCTTTTGTGTTCATGAGGAATTGCGTACAGTACAAGTGCGTGTGTGAGTGTGCTGCCCAAGGCTCTGTCTGCAGAGTGGCTGCGCAGAGGCCTGTTCTGAATCAGTCTCGCCATCTGCCTGCAGATAGACTGGAGATTGAAGCCGTTCGTGTTCGCTCAATTAATTCCATCACACAGCCAAGACAAACACGGTGCACTCTGCACACATACGTGCACACCGTCTGTCATTTATGTCCACAGGAACGCGCGGACACTCACAAATGAAAACGACACAAAACATGAGAGTTGCGCTTAGAATGCATGTCATGTTAGCATGATGTGCGAGTGCTTGCTCCTAGCACTGAAACGCTGGTTGAATATCACGCTACGTGGCAGCCGTACCAGCCAGGGAAGTGAGAGGATCTGAATTACTTATTCAATATCTTTGACTCCATTACAGGTCCGTATAGATGGATTGACTGGTCACATTCAGTTTAATGAGAAAGGCCGCAGAACCAACTACACTGTTAGTGTCATGGAACTGGCCCCCTCTGGACCCAAGAAGGTGAGCCTGAGGGTCCGATTTAAAATATTCATTCTTGCCCAAGGGCCCCCTTTCTAAAAGGAAAATATGTATGCAGTCTTATTACATGTGTCTGACTAACCCTGTAGCTTATTTTAAAACCTTGTACTGTAGTCAAACGAGTGAATGCTCCAAAGAGCCAGTTTCTAATTTAAAAAGTTAAGATTCACATTTAACAAGAAATCTCCTACTACCTTCAGTGAAGTGTATGAGTAGCTTTTTACTCTCACACCTCACTGAGCAGCTCCCAAATGAGTACATAATTACTGCTGTAAATACCTTAAGGGTGAAAGGCAAATTAGAGACATGGATTTACCTTACTTCTTGGTATGTTTTCAGTCTTGCAAATGCAACTGAATGTTTATTTGAAATAGCAGGAAATTCATATTTTCCTCTTGCGCTGGAGAAGCTACCCAGTGAGGAGACTTAAGTACTTGAATTTATCTGAAATGCCTGATAAATTATACATTTTTATTAAATACAGCTCATCATTTCAATTAAATTTTGTGCACTCCACATACATGTCTCTTTTGGGATTTCAGTCATTCACAGTAAGAGCTGCTAAACCAGCTTGATAGGTCATTGGGCTGGACTTAAATATAAGCTGAAATATGATAAACTGCCTTTAAGCTCGAGTCTTTGAGTGGGAGTAAAAGTTATTTTTCTCTCATATAGTCAGAGTTTCACTTTAGGCAGTTAATTAAACACGGGCCCTACTTTGTGACACATTCTCCTTGCCTTAGGTCGGCTACTGGAATGAAGATGAGAAGTACGTGACCACAGCCAGCCTGAGAGGGAGCAACGAGACTTACCCACTGCTGAACAGAACTTACATAGTCACCACTATCTTGGTAAGTATGAGTTAAAAACAAAAAAACTCAAACAAACAGAGGTTAAGGGCTTTTTTTAGGGGACGGGGGTGTTTAATTTGAGAGACTGAAACAGATAAAGTAACAGTAACATATTTTCTATCATGATAGAGTTCCTTAAATTTCACTCCCCTGAAAGAATTCAGCAGGCGTCCGCGATTGTATCTTGCTCTCTTGTTTCTTTTCACAGCTACATTTTCTAACTGCTCTCATTCTGACTGAAGCCTGCTCAGAATAACAATGAGTATCAGTATAACTTTATTGCTCCGTGTACATCTGAAGTGCAGAATCTTATGCCTGACATACAGTGTTGATGACTGTTAGAGTTGGTATAGTACACATTTATTGCACTTTTAAAAGCTCACAAAAGGTCAACATAATCTCTGTGGTAATGTCAACACACATAAAAAAAACAGGCAGACTAGAAAGAACCAGCAGAAGTGTCTGTGCAGCATTAGAACTTCTCATGAAACAGTCAAAGTAACTGTTATATATGAGGCTGTGGTATGTCAGTGCATCCTTTAAATTTCTTTAATTTCTTTTTACCACAAATGTCATCATTAATTCATTCAACATGTCTTGGGTTGTATTTGTTGGCAGTAACACAGATGGTCTGCAAGTGAGGTCACATATCAACCTGATCCATTCTTGTGACACGTATCATTATATTTTGTAATCATAGCTGATAATATCTGACTATAGTACAGTAGAGGATATTAAAGTTAGTTAGTACAATATATCCCTGGAGGTACAGGATGTTAGCTATGGGCCCCAGCAGGGCAACAAGCTGGTCTCGAGGAATATGGCTGTGGAACACCATAACTTCAGATTTTTTCTCATTTAAAATGAGAGAATTATCTGACAGCCAATCTTTAACCTCTCTCAGGCAATCGTACAGGGAGTTCAGTGATGCTGACAAATCATCAGTCAGTTGACAATAGATTTGAATGTCATCAGCGTAAAAGTGATAAGAAATATTGTATTTTTCAAATATGGAGCCCAAGGGTAGCATATACAAAGAGAATAATAAAGGGCCCAATACAGACCCCTGGGGCACACCACAACACAGAGGGGCAACAGAGGAAGAGTATCCTCCCATCACAACAGAGAAGGATCTATCTGTGAGGTAAGAATTAAACCAGTTAAGGGCAGAACCCTTGATGCCTACAACATGCTCTAGCCTCCTCAAGAGTATATTATGATCAACCATGCCAAAGGCTGAAGACAGATCCAATAAAACTAAAACGGCAGGGCGACCAGAGTCAGCAAATACAAGAAGATCATTATAGACTCTTAGTACGGCCGTTTCAGTGCTATGGTGTGGCTTAAAGCCAGACTGGTATTTGTCAGTGATATTATTTGCAACTAAGTAAGCCTGTATTTGGAGAAAGACGGCTTTCTCCAAAAAAATTTGATAAAAACTGAAGTTTTGAGATTGGCCTATAATTGGCAGGGTCTTTCTGATCGAAATTACTTTTTTTAAGAACAGGATGCACTACCGCATGTTTAAAAGCAGTCGGGACACAGCCCACTAACAATGATAAATTCATTAAAAATAAGATGCAAGGCCCAAATTCCTCAAAACTTTCCTTGATAATTCGGGATGGAAGGATATCATGCACAGAATTTGAGTTTCTCAATTGTTCAATTATTCCCTTAAGAGCGGGGAGTGATAACAGCTCAAAGTGAGAAAAGGTGGACATGCATCCTAAAACCGGAACAGGATTCAGCACAAGAGAGTGAGAGTGTGAAGCCTTCAGTAATAAAACTTTTCCACTAAAACGAATAAGAAATTGCTCACAGAGAGCCTGAGAGGCCGAGCTCGAAGAGTCCGGACAGGGATTTATCACTGAATTAAAAATTTTGAATAACATTCGGGGGTTGTGGCTATTAGTCTCAATAATATCTGATAGGAAAGCTGCTTTAGCTGCCTTTACGGAGTTCTGGTATAGAAAGACTGCATGACTGTGGGATTTTTGTGGGACACATGAATTCTGCTGTGTGCGCCTTCCTTCAGATGGCTTCAGTGCTCACAAGATTCTTAGTGGAGCTGATGAAGGCAAGAAACAATGTAGAATAACAGAAAAAACATGAGTACACATCAACCTGTGCACTTTTTTTAGAGGCATTGGCTGCATATATAGACATCACTGCCAGTGAGAGGAGAAAAACTCTTCCAGTCAGCCTCCAAGTTGTAATTAAGATAAAGAAATTTTCAGAAGCCAACTATCTCTGCCACTTAGCAGATATAATTATGTTTAAACAAACTGGTGCAAAATGACTGCAGTAGTCAGTTCAGCTTAAATGAAGCCCAAAGTGAACCCTAATGCAATCCATTCAGCTGCGAGAAAAGGAGATTGATAGCTTACATGGTTTATTTTGTACCCAGTTTTCAAGCCTTTAGGCTATTTTTCAGAAAAACAGATTGCATAATCTCAGAGATTAGACATAGTTAACTAAACACATTCTTTGTTTGAAAGTAACTCTCCAACACTCCAGGAGAGAGAGGCCAGAGGGAAGCCACTTGAAGTTTGCCAAAAGGCACCTAAAGGACTCTCAAATATCGAGAAATAATTCTCTGTTCTGATGAAATAAAGATTGAATTCTGTGGCCTGATTGCCGTGCGTCATCGGCAACATCATGCTCTGGAGATGTTTTTTGGCAGTAAGAATAGGGAGTCTAGTCAGGGTCGAGGGAAAGATGAATGCAGCAACGTATCCTTGATTATAACAAGCTCCAGAATGCTCTGGTTCAGCCCCAGTTTTCCAACAGGACAACGACCCTATGCACACAGCCAAAGTAACAAAGGAGCATCAGGACCACTCTGTGAATGTCTTAGAGTGTCACAGCCAGAGCCCAGACTTGAGATCTGAAAATGGCTGTGCACAGACGCTCCCCATCCAACCTGACATAGCTTGAGAGAAGATTGAAATATTGAGCCAGGGCTGTCAATGCTTATGTAGTTGTTATATTTTAGTTTTAAATTTTTACTACATTTTCAAGAATTTCAAGAAAACTTTGTCTTTATGGGGTAATATGTTTATAATTTGAGGTAAAAATGAATTGAATCCTTTGTGGAATGAGGCCGTAACATAACACAACGTGGAACATGTGAAGTGCCGGGAATACATTCTGCATGCATGTAGCTTCTGCCACTTCAGCTGTCTGCAGTACAACTGGAAGACCAGAGATCCTGTTAGAATCATTTTCACTGAAAAGCCAATCAAGTTGTTCTTGTAGTATTACTATAATAAGATTACTGAGTTAAATATAAGAAAGTAGCCACTAATGTAGCTGCAAAGGCAAATCCTGACATGTAGTCTATTGACATCTACTTTCGAAAGTATGCCTAAAATCCTTATTTAAACCCAAGAGTTGGAGTCTCCGGAGTAAGCCCCCAAAATAACTCTCTCTGACATAATCTCCTATCAGTGTCCTTTTCTCCGGGAAGATAAATTAGTTTTCTGTCTTGGAAGCTAAGAGAAGAGATAAGGTGTGAGGAGCACAGGCGCAGGAGTTTTTACACCTTCTAACTTCTGTGCTCTCTGATTCGTTGCCTACGGGTGGGTGTTGTTTTGCTGCTGTGTTGATATCACATAGTTCTTCACTGTAGTCCCTGCTGTCCAAGCCTGTGCCCACAGACTAGGCCTGGAGATGTGGAGAAATGAGGCACAGCTGGTTTAATGGGGCATCAAAGCTTCCTTTGCTGATGACTGCGGCTTTGCACTGAAACCAGACAAAGAGTGAAATGTGTCTAATCTTAGCATGCCTGATTTTTGTGTTATTGTCGCCTTGAGTGTGTATAACTCTTAAAATATATTGGGTAATTTCAGCACACAAGAGAAAATGATTGAATTTTTAAAACATATGAAAAATATGAACTCCTACATGTGTAGTCGCTTTTGTTCAGGTGCACAAGTGCTCTTGTGTGTATAAATGTGCAGCGAATGTGTCTGAGTATTGCATTTAATGTGGTTGAGTGACAGCAGATCTCAGTGGAGCTGTTCGAGGTCAATGTGATTCAGTCCTGCAGGACCTTTTGTATGCCTTGCCACATCTCCATGTGCACATTTGTACATGTGCGTGTGTATTTCTGTGTGTGTGTGTGTGTGTGTAGCGGGCGTGCTCACAGTTGCGTGTGCCCTGTCTTTGTCTATGACTGCGTGCGCCAGTGCGTACACTGTGAAAGCGCTGCACGCCGGTCCTTTCTCTTCACTGCCTCCCCAGGGTGCCATTTGTCTACCAGCCTCAAGTTATGTGCAACAATGATTACCTTCACCTGGATCATAAAGAGCGGGAGAACACAGATAGCTGTAACACATATAGGAAACCCTCTCCTCCCTACACCCCACCTCCTTATCCAGACTCTGGTGAACACGATGGAAGGATTTTCTAAGCTCAGCAGAAAACTCTCGCTTAAAACAGGAACACATAACAACTTGTGGGAATTGAGGCCTTCTAAGTGCTGCTGGACAATATATACTGAGGCGACTTTAATTCTGTATGAAATACATATTTCTGAAAGTGGAGCCCCAGGTGTCGTGTCAGCTGCAGTTTCTCAGGCAAGTCAATCAGTGTGAGATGTGCAGTAGTCGATGTAACAAGAAGAACAATGTGGCCCCGGAGCAGAGGTTATCCTGGTTTCAGAGAGCTGTCAGCTTCATTGTCTTCATGCACGCACTTACACAGGTGTTCGTTTGAATCATACCTCATGTCTCTTCGGCTCTAACAATGCTGCCCAATTCCTGTTTTCTTGCTGCATGCTATGTGCTTTTCAGTGCACGATCCAGTCGCAATCATCCTACTTAGAGGGTCTTTGTAGATGAATTACATACCTACCTTCAGGGAACAAAGCTAAAATAATGCCTTGTAGTTCCATTTAATTTTCTTTTCTTCTCAACCTTTAAACCTACAATTATATCCGGGGGCCAGTGTTGTTGTTTTTTTTCCTTTTTTTTGCCCTAAGCCTCGGTTTAGAACAAGAGATAGCACTTCATTTTCAAAATGCACACTAATTTCGGGGAAATCATTTCAGAAGCTGTTGAGTGAGTTCCTGTAAATGATTTTTAAAACTTTAGGAAAATAAAAAGAAACAAATAAAAAATCCGTTTTTACTCATGGCTGCCCCACATCCAACAGGAGTCTCCATACGTGATGCTGAAGAAGAACCACGAACAGCTTGTGGGGAATGATAAGTACGAGGGCTACATCGTGGAGCTGGCTGCAGAGATAGCAAAGCATGTGGGCTACCAGTACAAACTGAAGATCGTCTCAGATGGCAAGTACGGAGCCCGAGATCCCGAAACCAAGATGTGGAATGGCATGGTCGGAGAGCTGGTGTATGGGGTGAGTCGGTGGAGCTTCTTCTAAGATTTTCTTTTTGTTTTCCCCACAGTCAAAGCTGGAAAATTAACTTTTAAATGTCTTTTGTGAATACTGATTATTGAAGGTCTTGACACATTGAAAACCTCACTGGCCCCAAGCCTGTTAAGGATGATTACCTATTTTGCTTTCTTTTTATTAGTATTCGGCACTGCTTATTTAATTATAATTTTAATATGTTAGACTTTGGGCAAGGTTCACTTTGCAAGAAACAAATCCTTACAGTTTGCTGCTAGAATAATTTGTGATTATATGATTACTAAAGGTTCCTCTGAATTGTCATTTTGACAGTCTAACCACTTTGTTCTTCAGAAGTCTGAAATTGTGCTGTGTTTTTAATTTGACCTGGATCGTTACCAACTAACTTTTGCTGTGTGTACCAACTGTGCTGTGATAAGGGGGAGGAAGATAAAGACACCATCTTAAAACTGAAAGAACTGGTCTTTCATTTGCTTTCTCGTAGTGCAATACACTTGGATAATGATCAAGAATACATTTATAACTAGACACGGTGTAGTGCACTTTGGGTGGTTGCGGTGATCCTCTCAGACCTTTGCTGCAAACAAGGAAACACAAGTATCATTCCACCTCAGAATTTCAATGAAATGCTACTTTATCCAGCAATGTTTACACCTGTCTTTGTGCTCTTTCCTCAGAAAGCAGACGTGGCTGTGGCTCCGCTCACTATCACCCTGGTCCGTGAAGAGGTGATTGACTTCTCCAAGCCCTTCATGTCTCTGGGTATCTCTATAATGATCAAGAAACCAACCAAATCCAAGCCTGGCGTGTTTTCCTTCCTGGACCCGCTGGCTTACGAGATCTGGATGTGCATTGTGTTTGCCTACATTGGCGTCAGCGTCGTCCTCTTCCTGGTCAGTCGATTCAGCCCGTATGAGTGGCACGCCGAAGACTACGAGGAGGGAGCCGAGCCGCAGACTCCCACCCAAGCGGCGGCTTCCAATGGGGTGCAGCAGGGCCAGACACCGACGCAGCAGAACACCACCCAGCAGAGTCCAGAACAAACCAATGAATTTGGCATCTTCAATTCCCTTTGGTTTTCACTTGGCGCCTTCATGCAGCAAGGCTGTGATATTTCACCACGGTAAGAAGCTAAGGCCACAAATTTTGAAGCTTTATACTCCTCTGAGTCTCTGCTTTTATTTGTTGGTACACAAAGAGACATTCAGTACCACCTACGTGTAGTACATATCTATCTGCCACACCAACGCCTCAGCATGCTGACCTGCTTTCTTTTTCAGCTCACTTGAGTTTTGTTTATTGAGATTTTGTTGTGTTTTTCTTAGCCGCTTGTCATACAAAGAAGTGATAAAACTTTGATGAAGGGCAGAAGAGCCAGTTTATGATGTGGTCATGTTGCAGACTGTTGTGGTCTCATTCAGTTTCCAGATAATTCCCATAGTGCGAAAAACATGGCACAAATCTAGGACAGTCAAAACTGGTAGTCAGTAGAAAGCTTTAGTATTTTATAAAATTAAAAATTCAAATCCAACTGTCAGTCTGCCGGCCTGCCATTCTGCATCTCACAAGTGATTAGCCAGTCGGTTGTGTGAATATCAGAGCCTTAAGAAGCTGCTATGAAGGATCCTGGTGTGAGTATTGAGTGGTATATGTTGGCTTCCCTCAAGTGCTCTCATGAGCTGTGGTATGAAACCGTTCTCAAAAGGTCACCAATTAAAAATCTCATTAAGTGTCTGAAATTAGAGACACTGAGGTCGACTTTCTGAGCTCTCCAGAGGAGCTAACAGGAGGAGATGAGAAGATAACGTCAGTGTTATCACTGTAAGCTCTGAACTAGCAGAGACAGGTTAGGTCACTCGAAGACAGAGCTTCTTGCCTCTTTAAACATTAAGCTGCATATACATTATGTAGCAGCTACCGTGAAGTTGGAGATCCCAGCGCTCTGTCTTGAAAGGGTAATCGTAAGCATCGTTGCGTTCCATCTCGACTTCCTTCTTGTGGCAAATGAAAGGGTGTATTTTCACTTTGGCCTCACCCTGCACAAATAACAGAAGGGAAAAAACAAAACAACTTTGCAACCCACGGGCCTGCATGCGGCACATAGGTGCTCAGCAGTACATAATGTAGGTAGTGAATTCCTCCTCCCACAGGCCTTCATCTGACATTTACTGTTTTCTGCCTGCAGACTGTGCTGTGCTTCATGCGAGATGAAGCCTATTGTCCAAATGCTCTTCTCTTACAGGCAGAAAATGCATTTGGAATAACTATTGATTTTCTTGTATGCCACACAAAGAGAGAAGGCCAGGGAATGTCACGGTGCTTCCTTAAAATTGTCCCTTCCTTCTGTATGCACAGCCATCCTTGCACAGTGTGTGTGGAATGGTGTGTACTTTGCAATTTAAAAAAGAGTATTGAGTATTTGCATTTCTTTTGCTCGAGGAGCGAGGGGGACGACCTCTGCCGATGCAAGACCATTCATTGACTTCGGCTAAAAGGACAAAACAGGCCATTCCGCTCTACTTTCTTATGTTCTCTGTAAAATAGGTTTGAGGTGGAACCGAATTTTATTAGTGTTATTAGTGAGGTTGGGCTTTAAGGGCGCTTGTCCTCTAAGGACTTCAGTCAAATACCTCTCTTTGTCTTGGAGTGTCCTTTCAAGGTGAGTCTGAGTGTTCATTTTTGGTTCTTGGTAAAAGATTTTTTTGGGGGGGGGGACGTCAGGGGAATTCACAGACTTTTTTTTTTCTAAAAAGAAAAAACTGCACATGTCACAGCGTGTGCAGCAGGACATGCTGTAGCGATCGGCACGGCCTGCTTGGAGTCTTGAAAAACCAACACAGTGAATGTTTCACCCCGCTGAATACTAGCCTGAAGGAAACATCTTCCCCTTGAAAATTTGGGTGACCTAGTTGCTCTAGTTAGCGCAGCGCATATTCACACACACTGGTGCATGCTGATGTGTCTCCTAAAGCATTATGAGTTCTTCTGCTAGAGTTAAAGGACATACTGTTGCCGCTACGGTTTGTCAGATGAAAGCAACAGTGCTTGTAACATCACAAATTCACAAGAACAGAGTATTACACAGCGTACGCAGTTTTACTTTTATCAAAAAAAAAATCTTTCTTGAGAAGGTTTTGTTCTTGTATGTAAGGTAGTGTTTGACCATCTTCTTTAATTTTTTTTCTTTTCTCTCCTAGCTGCTGCCTGTCTTTCTTTTTCCACTTTATTGATAGACTGAATATGTCCTGTCGGTGTGAAAAGGGAAGCTAGTGCGGCTGTGCCTAAAACCTCCATACTTCTCTCTCTGGATTGCAAAAAGAAGGCGTATTACAGGGACGTCCTCAGTAAAAACTCTCTTAACAGTTTATATTCTAAGGCACTACCTTCAGGTCTTTTTCAATATGGCGTTATGTTCATTTTGTATGTTATGGTCCCATTTAGAGAGAAAGAGACAATAAAATAGAGTGTGCTTTAAAGCGAGGATACCTTGTCAGGAACAAGTCACTTTTTTAACATTTTGTATATTCAAAACTTTGCTAAAGTACAAAATAACACTTCTCACTCAGAATTGTGTACTGTATTTTTTGGAGCAATGTTATTGATGTCTTAGCAAATACTGCTTATGAAATCCTAGATAGTCACTTGTTGGTTATTATGTAAGCACATGAGCTATCCTTGCTGATTGGCTGATCTTAGGTTAGTTTTTTTTAAAGCATCAACTAATATTAATTTGTCTGATGTTGTAGCTCTAACTAGTTAATTAAGAACTTGTTAATTTGGTAGCAGCTGATATACAAAGTGACTATGTGGATATATATGACTATGTGGAATAATATTTGACATAAAGCAGATTAGGGTCCGTGTTGACATATTACGTCACACAGTTGCTGCAGCTGTGTTGGTTGTACATCCATGATATAAGTGTGCTGTTTAACCACGTTCCAAAGGTGATCTGTTGAACGGATATGATTTGTATGACTATCAAGGCCTTGTGAGCACAAGGAACACATTGTAATGTTAGCAAAGATTTGAGCTTTTCGACACGGTGCGTTATCCTGCTGCAAGCAGCCATCAGAAGATGGGCTGTGGTCATAAAGCGATGGGCATCGTCCCCAACAATACTCAGTTTGGCTGTAGCCTCAGTTTCCTGTTCGTAGCTGACAGGAGGGGTACCTAGATCCTCTCCTGCATGGCTTGGTTGTAACAAGTTTAATAACAGAGTTCCTGTTCCCGTTCTATCAGCTCAAAGCAGTCTGGATATTCTCTTCTAACCTCTGACATCAACAAGGTATTTTCACCCAGAGAACTGCCGCTCAATGGATATTTTCTCTTTTTTTAGACCATGCTCTGTAAACCCTAGATGTGGTTATGAGAAAATTACAGTAGCTTTTGAAATACTCAGACGAGCCCGTCGTCTTGACCACTTCTACATGCCTAAATGTAGGGTTGATAGATAGATAGATAGATA